AAAAACATGAGTCTGAATTCTCTTTTGACACTTCACTCTTTTTCACAGGAGTAAAAACATACATCTGAAAATGTAGTGTCTATATTTTCAAAATATAGGTTGCTGGAAATATAATGTGCTACACTTACAATATAATTATTATATATGAATTTCACATCCCTAAACTAATTTTCAAAGGGAACTTGAATAACTTTCAAATTAAAAATATAATTCTAATACAATATTAAGCCCTGAAAGTTCATATGTCAGGGTGAAAATGTATGGTTCTGATGAGAAAGACACAGGCAAATGAAACTCATCCAGCATTGCTTTTAAATAATTTTTCCAGGCACATTCATAGTAAAGGAGGTTCCATTATTCAAATGGAACTTACTTTCATTGTTATTCCAATCCTTACGATGTCATTGAAAAGTGCAATAGTACAAATTATAAATGATGAAGGAATAGCCATAGGTTTGTAAGGCTCAAATACTTGATTTTATATGTTCAACACTAAGAAACAAACAGCCTGAATCATAACTAACGTTTGCATTTTTAGTACTGGAACATTATGGTGATAAGATTCTTATATAACAATGAATATGGCATATTGGTTAAAGAACTGAATTGGAATCTGTGTTACATTCACACATGCCTGTCAGTCTAAAAATCAAGACTCTGGTAGCTTTTCAGATTAACAAATGTTATCAAAAGTCATCTTTCATCTCACAAAAACTTATTCCTTAAATAAAATTAATTAGTTTCAAATATGTTACTAAACTAGTTTTTTGCCACAATAGGCTTCTCTCCTCCTATGGTATTTATCAACCTGATATGATTGAAGGTTATCATGAGAAGAAAATGGAAAGGCTTATCTCCTTGAGGATATAAATAAATAGATATGAATTAATACTTGTAAGTAGCTAAGAAGAAATGAAATCACATATTTTGAATTCTTTTAACATGAGCAAATACAATGCCAATAATCATAACAAGGCTACAGGCTAGAATTATTCAGTTATTGTGTTCAAAATGCAATAAACTTTGATACTAGTATCTTTGGTTAATTTTTCCAAGGCTGTGTTTTAGGGAATTGTTGCATTTCTTCAAAATGTTTTGCATATTTCTCATTGAAAATCCTGACACAGAAAAAAAACTTTATAGACGAACTATTTTGGAAAAGAGTTTTCTGTTTGTTTCCCTCCACATCACAATGAAGAGGGAATGTGGTTAAATAACTTAAGATTAGGATGGACAGTCTATAACTCATAGATTCCAGGTAAACCTAGCCCAGTTTTGCAGCATGCATCAATTCAAAGATTGTTCATATCATAAAATCAGCAGTTAACCACCCATTTTTGGCAGTACAGACCTGCATATGTGTGTGCACGGACCCACACACACATTTTGAATAACATACCTTAAGACCCGTTTATTTAAAAAAGTTGAAAATATGTACTGAGCCATAAAAACATTGTATTTTTATGAAGTAGTCTTAGTTTATGTACAACAATTATAAGGCTCATGTTATGTGTGAATTTGTTACGATCTAGAACCGTGATGGCGAATCTCTGGCACGCATGCCACAGGTGGCACGCAGAGCCCTCTCTGCGGGCACGCCAGCCATCGCCCCAGCCCAGCTCCACTGCAGTCAGCTGGTCTTCGGGTCTCTGTCACTCATGCATGGGGAGCGGGGCGAATGAGGGGGCACTTGCATTGCATTTTGGGGGTTCACGCATGTGCCCCCTGTGCCTCATTTTTGGCCTGGAAGGCCTCCTGCACCAACCTGGAAGCCAAAATGGGGCACGGGGGGGGCCAAGGCACATGCACACATTGCATTTTGGGGGTTCGGTCACGCTTTGGGCCTCAGCACCAAAAAGGTTAACCACCACTAATCTAGAATATTTCCTCACAATCTTTTGAAATGGCTGTCAGACAACTTGATTTAAAAAAAGATGTTTAAGAGTAACAAGCTCATTGTTTTAAATAGTAACTCACAATTTGTAAATCCATGTATTCATCTGAAGTATTAAAAAAGAATCTGCAAGGGGCTGGAATTTTTAAAAAGAGTTTATGAATTTATTTTGAGATTAAGATCTCTTCTTTAAATAAAATAAATTCTTTTTCTCTTCTAAACTATTGTTTTAAATGATACAAAGACTCATTTGAATCTTAGTTCAATATATTTAACTTCCCTAAAGTGTGTTTTTGAAGAAATTGTGTGCACTCTGGACCTGGAATAAGACAACTGTTCTGTTTGTTTCTAAATTAGAAACAGTATTCCAAACGTGTCTCAAGAATCTGGTTTGTTATTCAACTCCACATTTACTCCATAACCCTCACAAACCTCCCTGCTACTGCTTTTTTCTTCAGACAAGAATCATGATGCTCTGAATAATTTTGTTTGCATTAAAATAATATTGATTTCAAAAAAGCTAGACATATTCATTTTTGTCCTTCAAAAAATCCTAGAGCTACATGCTAAACCAAAAAGTTTAAATAAATTCCAGAACAAACCACTCTCTGCAACACTGCATGCCCATTTACTCACCAGCAGTCAAGAATCCCTTGACATTTTTAGACTTGAAGTCAGAGAACTACAGTTTCTCTTATTCTGGGAGTCAATGAGTATTGCATATTAAAATGGAATGCTACACAGGTTTTTGATTTTTTTTAAAAAATTCAGCCCAAATTCCCAGTTCAAATTAATAATTCATTTTACTTTAAGGGTTTCTTCTGGCTGAATAGATTCTTGTTACATCTCTTCTATTTTGTAAGATAGCTTACAATGCTAATAACAATATTAATAATGCTGAAGGCAGAAACAAACTATCTAAAATAAATTAAATAAAAACTTATTCCCAAGTAAAAGTGCATAAAATTGCAAAGTTAGTGATATCCTTAAATAAGCATATTGTATATGCTTATGACGTTTACACATATGAAGGCTAGCCATTAAGTTGCAATACATTATATCATTCTTCTAGATTTATTCTTTTAAGTAAGTATTAAATATTCTTTTCAGCACTAGTGTCTCTAATCTTTTTTAAAAAAAGTTAAGTAGCAGAGAAAAGACAAGAGAAAATAAATCCAAAATGTATTAGGGGCAGATCAGAAACTATTATTCATTTTTCTTTTAAATGAGTAAGTAAAAGGGCGAATGCTCTTGGAACAAAATAATATCTAATGAAAATTGTATTTCTGAAAAGATGGGTTTTTGTTTTTTTTTAAATGCAGATACAGATTATAGGCAATCTTTTGTCATGCCAAGCAAATAGGAATCTCCATTAGGTAATTGTCATGAAGTATGTCTCATACAGGAAAACCACTGAAATGCTGATGTAACGTGGCATTGGCCAATCGAGTTCCAACTCCATCCCACAATTTTAAGTATGACTTTTAAGTAAATGTACAGAATAGTACAAAGCTCTGTGATCTGATTATCATTACAGAGAGTTTTGAGATCTTGTCAAGTTTCTATGGCAGAGATCACTAGGAACCTGGGGGCCAGAAAGGCAAAATATAATTGTTGTATTCCCTCATTGACAGTCCTAAAGTTTTATCCAGAAAAATCATATATGGCATATGCCTTCCTTATCATTATAGAAATGTTCTATTACATGTCTACTATCACTATTAAATTTATCATTCAAATGTAAGCTTTTAGCCTATTAACGAAAAGCAAGCTGTCCAGAATGAAGGTGATGTTGCAAATATAACTACTGAAGGAGTGACACAATAGAATTTTTTTTTAAAAAAATATAATTTCTCAAGTGAGAAATATTCTCAAGTGAGAATATTTATATACAGAGTAATCAAACTTGGTGATATCAAGGGAGATCTAAGCAGCATATGTAAAGGAAATGAATGTTGCTTTTATTGTTAAAAAGCTGTATACAAATACACAAACGTACAACCATTAGTACATTTTAATTATTTCATTAACAATATATTTGTGATATTATTGTCCCTTGGATTGTCTACTTGTCTTGGAGATCATAGGATCTATTCTATTATTTGATGTATTTCTAAAAGACTAAATCTTAAATTGCAGTGTAAGAAAAATATGCAAAGTGGTAAATTCTTGGGTAGAGCTATATGTATGATTAAAGTAATTAAGATAATATAAATTAAATGGGACAAAAAACAACAACTGAGGTTTCAAACATGGTTTATTATCTGACCAAAATATAACAAAGGTATGGAATATCATCATTGTCTCAATGAAAACTAACAGTTGCAGAAATTAATGAAAATCCATTTACAGTAAACAAATATTTGCCTCTTAACAGAGCAATGTTTTTTTTAAAAAAAATCACAGGGTTTCAACATGTGGCATCAGAAAAAAAAGAGTAATTTCCATTAAATCAAATGAAAAGGATACAGTTTTAAATAATATGACTTTGTCAACTCGTTAAAATTTTCAACTTTAGTAATTTTTAGTTCAGTTCTCTCCAAGCTATAAGCATGGATTAATCTTAAAAGTGTTACAACAGATGAGAAAGGACTTCAAGTTTTAGTAGGAGTCCACAGATTTAGTAGAGCTGTCCAAGTCTTATTGTGGACAGAATTTGAAGTAGGAAGCAGTTGGAGTTTTCCTGAACATCTCCTTTGGGTGTGTTCAGATGTATTGTAAGGCTATCAATAAATAGCCTTCTCATTTCAGTTTCACTTTATTAAATTGGTCTGAGGGACTTCGTGAAAAAGATAGGAAAAAGAAAAAACCCAGAGATGTCTAATGTGGGGTGGGGGGAAGGGAGGGAAGGAAGGAGGGGAGACAGGAAACTACCAGGCAACTATGAAAAAAAAAAAGTGATTTCAAAGGCAAAAGTGGCCAGATCATAAGCCGGAATGCCAATATAAATGAGAAATATGTGCTAGAGTGCAATGAGCATAAGGAAGGCTTAAGCTGTTTCTCCGCCTTCTCAATCAGAGCTTTACTCATAGACAAAACTCCCTCCCTCTCTCATTCAACTCACTTAGGCTATCCTCCTCCCTCATTTCTCTCTGCCTATTTCTCAGCGTGTGCTTTGCCTACAGCGCGACAGAGTCAGACTCCTCTCACTGACAGTCAAAGACATCATTTGCACTTAGTGAATTCAGACCTTCCAAACCAAACTTCACCGAAAACTTTTTGTTCTTCCTGAAGAGAAAAGAGGAAGCAGAAAGGGGAAAAATCCAACTGGGTGAAGAAGTAATTGTGGTGGAAGAAAAGCCTTGCCTTTTTAAAAAGGAATCACAACAACTTTTGCTACAAGGATGCCTTTGCTTCTGACTAGAGGATTGATGGTGTTATTTTGCTGGATTATAGCACAGAGTTCCCCAGCATCTGGATTGGAGGGGCACAGTTTAGTTTCTGATTGCCCATCCTGTGCCCTTGGCACTCTCTCCAAGAATGTGCCCAGTTCCCAGCCTGAGATGGTGGAAGCTGTAAAGAAGCATATCCTAAACATGTTGCACTTGAGAGACAGACCTAACATCACTCAGTCAGTGCCCAAAGCTGCACTTTTAAATGCTATCAAGAAACTCCACGTCGGAAAAGTGAGAGAGGATGGCAATGTGGAAATAGAGAATGACATTGGAAGAAGAACAGAAAAGAATGAGTTGATGGAGCAAACATCTGAGATCATAACGTTTGCAGAATCAGGTTGGTGCTATTGAAAGTGGGGGTGAAGAGGAAAGCACAGTGTTGTTAGAATTGCAATTAACTTTTCTTTGTAGCTGTTACGTTCTAGATAAGGTGGTGGGAAAGAAAAGGGGAAAAGTGTGAAGGAATGTGGATCTCTAGAATTCAGCCTTGATTGCAGATGTTTTATTTATATTTACCAAACTAGCCAACAAGTGAAGTACAAGCATCTAACATTTTGGGTTCAATATTAAGAGGTGGATACTTCCTTCCCTACTTGAGAAAAGAACTGATCAGTTCTAATCAGAATGAGATAGTAAATAGGCAAATGGGCAAGGAGTGTTCTTTAAAATGGTGTAAGTAAAGAAAAAAAGTTACGATCAGTTTCTGAATCAACTCACTGTAAAATCTGTCAAGTTGAGGATAAATATTTGTTACTCAGTTCCTAGCAAGTGTTCAGGGCAGTAAAAGTGTTAACAGCTACTGTCAGAAGACCTAGTACTAAGTGGGGCAAATAGTTGTAGGCAATCCAAATTGTAATGCTGACTTTTGCACAGTGGGGAAAAAAAACAAAGCAAAAAAAGATGGTAGTCCTAAGAATTCTCTGCCAAAGAGTGCAACTTTGATGGGTTGCATTTTCAACTACTGGTACTTATTTTTCAACTCATTTTCAACTTCTGCAAACAGGTAATTAAATGATAAATATAGACTATCATTCAATGTATGCATTATCTTCACTGTTTAGCCATTGTACACACACACACACACACACACAAACACACACACCACATCCATATGTGTGCCTGTGTCTAGACAGTCATATATTCAGATTTACCAATAATAAGAGATTAAAGAATCACAATTTAAAACTTTCTGAAAATTAATGCTGTTCCTTAGTGAAAGCACTTTTCAGTGATGCCAAGGCAGCTTGCAAGGAATCTCATTGTTTTGCTTACTCAACATATGGTAGTAAAAATATGCATAGGCACACTGAGCATTTTTGTTTAAAAGTTTGTTGGAGCAATATAAACAATTAAGGCAACTCTCTCAGAGTTTCCAGTTCTGAAAACCTGTTGACTCAGATGTTCTGTTTGCAGAAAAAGACATACAGAGAAGCATGTATGGTTTAACAGCAGACATTCCTGCTGATAAATGGCATGAATTCGCACTGTATGGTTATCCTTAGTATATATGTCAGTGTAGCACTTACCAAATTGCAACTCCCCACCACTCCACCCCGGTTTGCCTGAGAAGGGTTTGCTATGAAAGCAAAGGAAAATGACTTGTTCTCTCCTTTTAAAAGGTGGTGGGAAGTGATTTTACTCCAGTGGTTTTACTCTATGAAGCAATAAACAGTCAGAAGCAGGGAACTTGATAGACCATCTGATGGGCAGATACTGCCTCCAGTTTACCACAGAACTCTCTCTAAGACAGATGGAATGAAATGTGGTTTCTCGACATTGTGTGAGTTCTAGGTTTGTACTGTTTCTGCTTAAAACAGGCTCCAAAGGCAACTGTGTCATGCTTCAACTGTGGTGCACAGCCCAATTGGCTTAAAGAATCACATGGTTAATATTTGTTATGCCACTGCCCAGAAAGTGGCCAATAGTCCAGCAACTCATTATTTCTTTCAACTAGAATTTATAAATGTTCAAATTACTGTGATTTGTCTTTTGTAGAAGCAATCGTGATTATAATTATGTCAATGTTTTATTTGTCGTGTTATCAGTACTGACTAGAGTTCAGTATAGTAAAAGCAGGAAAACAACAGCAGCAACTGCAACAAAAATCCTGAACTCTCTTGAAATATATGTTCTTTTGTTTAGATTATAGAACATAATTTACTTCAAGCATAAAGACCTTCCTCAAGATCATTTATCTTTCTTCACCAGTTTATTCCATGCTGAAATGTGAAGGTCAAGGAAAGTTTTGTTGCACAAAACAATATTGCATAATATTCAATTTATATGCTGATTATAGCCCTCTTGTGGTTATCAGGTATCTTTTTAGAACTTTAGAAAATGATAAGAAACAACACTTTACATCTAATCATAAAGGACGTTTATAGAATATGGAGCTGTTGAAGTGTACAAGTAGAACTCAAAACCTGCTTTAGGTTATATTTAAAAAATAATTGAACAAAATATGAGAAATATTCTTTACCAGTATTCTGCTTGTTCTTGAAAACAACCATCTTTTCAATGGAGCAGTAGAGAATAAATGAAAGTGAATGGAAACATATCTTCAGTTTTGTCAAACTTAAATTATGAAAAAAAAGCAGTGTAGTTTTTTTTTAATTTTTGAAAGCAAGTTAATTAACAAAGTTATCTCAGTGGTTTCAAAAGTATTCTGAGAAAGTTTCTAAGTTATAGTTTATAGAGTTCTCACAAGTACACACATCCTTTCTGAACTGAGATTAAGATCATTTGAAATGTGGAAAAAATAAAAGGCTCAGAGGCAACTTTCTAGATGAAATAAGAAATGGACAGTTCCAAAGATTGATATACAAACTCATACCAAACTACAGATCCAAGAGACCAGGTAAATTCTTGGCAGGTGCTGCTGACAATCCAGATTAATTTTTGTTAAACTAATAATAATAAATAAATAGAAGAAAAATGCTAATTTAATATGGCATCACAACTACATTTATTATAACAATTAACAAAAGATATTTGAAAATTACGTAAAGCTTTTTCACTAGTAAGATCAGATTTACAGTCAGCTAAAATGCTTGTATTTTGAATTGCCTTTGGGAAGCAAGAATGACTATTGCTGTACTTATCAAGAATATCACAAAAGTGAATATTGCTGCAATAAACTATGGTAATCTAGCTAACACCCTAAATTTTACACTCAGATGACTAATAGCTACTGGACTATGTTATGTACTGTTGGATTTATAATATGCTATTGGTAATTAGAAAGCCACTTTGGTTAGTGGTTAAGGCATCAAACTACAATCCAGAAGTCTCTGACTTTTAGTCCTGCATTGGGCACAAAACCAGTTGGATGACCTTGGCCTGGTCACTTTATTTCAGCTCTAGGAATGACAAATCACTTCTGGGGGAAAAAAACAACCCTGCAGGGACTTGTCAGGCAGCATCTGAGAATCAGACATGATTGAACAGAAAAAAAATGGTAATTCAGCAAGCAAGTTTTTAAAAAGTTGTAAATTACAATTATGAGTAAGGAGGAGATAATATTGACATTCTAGTGAAAATGATAAGCAGGTAATCAGGAATAAATGGAAACTTTAACCAAATTTATACCAACTTTACCTGAATCTGAGCAGGTTTACTAAAAATAAATGTCTTAATGTTTTCAGAAGTTATCTCATGTATATTTTTACTTCCTTGACATCTGACAGAAAATCTCCACAAAAGAAAATGTAATGATTTTTTAAAAATAAATTTGCAAAAAAGTATTGAAGGGAGGCAATTTATTAAGTTTTCAGATTCATTCATTTAAAAAAAAAAGGTTTCCAGTGGTTCATTTTTTATATTGAAGACATAAAAGCAAGTAACCACAAGAGGGCGAGTGCTTTAAGGTCCGTCCGTCTCTCCCCCCCACCCCATTCCATTTCATTCAAATTAACCTAGCTTCAAGTTTCTGTTTTTTTTTTATCTAACCGGCTCTGAAAGAGAAATTTTGCAGGGTTAATTGCTCTTTTCTGCTTCTTTGTCTTGTATTTTTTTATCCAGCAAATTGGAGAATTTCTTTAGTGATAAACTACTGAAGAATATGATATTCAGAAACAAAGCAAAGACAAAATGGAGAGGAAAAGGGGGGGGAGTAGAGGGAGGGTGGCAGAGAGAAAAAGAATACTTGGAAGCTAAAAACTAGCTATTGTTAAGGGGGAAATAGTGGTGTCATTCTTTTTTTTTTTTTTTGAAGGCCATCTGACGAGTTTAATTTCTTACCCAACATAGCCTGAAGTGGATACTCTGTGAGGAAGGCTGGATTATAAATCTTGACTATTTTGCTTCTTTTTGCAAATTGGATGTTTGTTTTTAGTTAAGTTTCATGTATAGTGGGAACAACTTTACCAATCCATTGATAAGCAAAATAAAATTGGAAATATTCTTTCAATCTGAAATTCTTTCTGGGAAAGAATGACAGAAGCAAAGAAAGATATTGATGAAGGAGACTAACAGACAGTAATCGTAAATAGGTAGTTTAAAAGGGTATCCATGGCAGCTGAAGATATATGTGAACAGGCTGCTGTGTTTCTATATTAATATGTTGTTGCAGATTAATGGCTGCAATAATGGATGCTTAGAACTGTGCCTGAACATTTTACCGTTTCCTTCAGTTTTTACATTTGCTTTACTAGTTACCAGTGGAAAGGTTTTATCTTCAGGTAAATTTGCTTTGCAGGGCAGAAGGACCTTTCTCCTTTTTTAAAAAAAGTGAATTTTGAGTCAAGCCTTCGATTATCTTAGATTTTTTGTTTTGAGGCAAGTTGCAGCACTTATGCCCTGGCTTACAATGTGTTTATATTAATTACCAGTTTGTGACACGTATCAGGATATGTCCCGCAACCCTGAAGGAGTATTAAGTTCTGAGACTGAGTCTCTTGCTATTTCTTTGAACATTCTCAGTTTAGCTTTTCCAACAAATTGGGAAGGATAGGAAATTAGATAAAATGAGTCAGAGCATCACTGCTGCAACTTGCCTCAAAACAAAAAATCCAGGCCTCAAAGCAAGAAATCCAAGCTGATTGAAAGATTTTGATATTTTTTTCATTTAAAGCTCCAAATGAATCTGGATGTGTTTCAGATGGGTTTTAGATGTTCAGTGAATCAGATTAATGGGTGGATTTGACTCATTTCTGGTCACAAATATATGCATTGTAATGGTTCAGCTCAATCCAAATCTATTCATATTGGTCCATTTGCAGTGGTGGGATTCTGTCGGTTCCAGGGGGTTCGGCCGAACCCTTTGTTAAATTGCTGGCTCACCCCGCCCCTTGCCCCGCCCCTCCGCACCACTATTTATTACCAATAAATAGTGGTGGG